TCCGTGAACTGGAGCCACGGGAGGAGCTCAGAAGGAGAGAACGTGACTGTGAAGTGGAAGAGAAGAGGGTTTGCAGGAGAAGAGAGAGAGAAGAGCCCGTTCTGGAGAGGAAGATTGATTTCCAAGGGGAGCTGGAGGTCTCTGAGCGCCGCAGCCGCCAGACACGGGACAGGGAGGAGAGAAAGACACGGGAGCTGGAAGAGGATGGAAGGAGAGAACGTGAGTCAGTGAGGTACGAAAGGACAAGAGACACCAGAGTAGCAGCAGCAGAAGCTGATGTGAAAATCCACAGAGAGATCCGTGAACTGGAACCCCGTGAGGAGCTCAGAAGAAGGGAACGCCCTCGTGAGTGTGGAGAGGAGAGGAGGATTCTCCAGGGAAGAGAGAGGGAAGAGCCTGTGCTGGAGCAGAGGATCCAACGGGAGCTGGAGGTCTCAGAGCGCCGCAGCCGCCGGACACGGGACAGGGAGGAGAGAGGGGTCACCATCGACCGGAGGGAGACCCGCAAGGAAACCACACTCGAGGTGCTGGAAGAAGAAGAACAGGAGGTGGATGAAGGACGAATCCCCTTCCAAACCGTGGAGGTGGACAACAGGGACCTCTGCCCCCCGGGGGAGGAAGGGCCCGTGAGTGACCTGCGGGTCCGATACGTCCCCGCTGACCCCGCGCAGCGCCCGGAGGTGCGGGTGGTCCCCCAGCCCTGCGACCCCCAGACCGTCGCCTACCTGGTGCACGTGATCCAGAACGGGGCAGACCCCGGCGCTGCCACCTACGAGATCGTCTGTCACCAGCCCGGGGACCCGGGGCAGCCCCTCTGCGTCAGGAAGTGCTTCGTGTCCGCCAAGCCACCCACCCTCCCCTGCGACAGGAGCAGCCACCCCCAGCCACCACCCCGGGGGGACCAGAGAGAGCCTGGGGAGCCCCAAGTGCCGCCTTCCAGCTGCCAGGAGGACACGAGGGAGCTCAGAGCAGGGGTGAAGGAAGGAGCTCCCCAGCCCCAGGCTGCTAAAGGAGACCCTTGCAGGGCCAAGACCAAGGAGGTCCCCGACACGGAAAAGAATCAGCCCCAGGGAGATGGATCCAAAGCTGCCAGGGAGAAGGTCCCCGGGGAGCCAGGATCCAGCTGCCAGGTGAGGGAGCGTGAGGACAGGAAGGCCAAGGGTTGCCCACCTCTGCTCCAGGCTCCGGATGCCGACGGGAGCCGAGCCCGGAGAGAAGGAACCGGCCGCGCCCGCCAGGACCTGGAGCTTCTGCCCCCGGAAAAGAGCTGCCAGGAGGAGACTGGCAAGAGGAGCCCCCGGCAAGGGGGTGATGCCCAAGTGGCACGGGAGGAGGAGCCGCGTCCTGGCACCAAGCAGGGCCAGGGAACCCCCGGGCTCCTGAGCTCCCGGGAGGAGCCGAACGGTCCCGCAGGGGATGGAGCCAAAGCATCTTAGGGGGGGGAAGCTGGTGGGGCTTCTCGGGGTCTTTTTGAGGATCATTTTGTGCCCTGTTTCGGTTTTAGGGACAGAAGTGATCCACTCAAAAGGGTCCATGAGGTGCCTTGAGAGGGTGTCAAGTGGGTTTGGGGGGGTTTCCACGTAACAAATCCTCGAGTTACCCCCGGATCTGCTTCCCTGCGTGATGCTTCTCCACCAAAATACAGTATTTAGTCACTTTTTCCGCTCTAATTGGAGTCCTTGGGTCTCTCTGTCCTTGGTGTCTCTGTCCTCTCTTCCACCCTGTGCTCACATCTCCCCGTGGCTGGTTCTCACCAGCTTCTGCTCTGCAACGCCAAAAAAAATCCCAGTAGCTCAACAATCCTCATTTTGGGGCCTGGAAGTCCCCAAAGCTGGGAAAAAATCCCACTTTCGTGGACTATTACACCAAATCCAGCCGAGCAGAATCCCAGCTCCAGCCTCGGGGAGGGTTTGGAGCAGCCAAGTGATGTCGAGGTCACCTCAGGGTGGTGGTGGGTGGTGGGTTGTGGGTTCTTCTTCTTCTTCACGTTGATGTATTGCATGAAAAATCAGAATAAACAGCTGATGACTGCACTGAGAGGTGCCAGCCTTCATCCTTCCACTGCTTTTCAAGGATCTGGGAGGGCTGGGGGGGAGCCACACGTTGCCGGGTGGGATCATCACACGTTCCCGGGTGGGATCATCACACATTCCCGGTTCACACCACACATTCCTTCTAATCCCGGGTGCTTCCCGCAGGCGGGGGCCGCTGGAAATCCCACCAAACCCCCCCCGCTATGAGCCCACATCCTCCTCCCAGCTGGTGCCAGAGGGATTCCCGAGGGTCGGAGCCGCTCCCGGCGCTGTCCCCTCGGCGCACGCGACGGTCACACGTCCTGGTGACAAACATATGGCAGCACAGATGGTGTGTCTGCGACCGGGGCCAAGGCCTGGGCTGCAAAAAACACCCCCTCAGCAGCTGCCGGGAACGGCCCCAAATCCCCCCCTGGCCGCGGCTCCCTCGGGGATCTGCTCCGGCAAAGGCGGAAACGCCGCTTTCCTGCTCGGGTTTTGTGAAAGGGGAGTTTGTAAAATCCGGGAGTTTTCCTGCCCTCGGCTCCCAGGTTTGGAAAATTCAGTCCGGGAGGGGCGGGGTTGTGGGAGGAGGTGCTTTTTTCCCCTGTATATGGGGGGGGGGAAGAGTTGGGGGCAGAAAATCAGGGCTGGAAAGGAAAATATCTCGGGGACGGTTCCTCGCTGCTTCCCTCTGTGCTACTCTGGGCTGTCCCAAAGAGGAATTCCCGAAGAGCTGTCCCAGATCCCAGGACTCCTGCGAAGCTTTGGGGGGGAACAGATTTCCCTGTGATTCCCCGAGGACTGAAGGAAGGGAGCCGACAGGGATGTTCCCAAGGACCGGGGGTGGGGGGCGAAAACGGAGAGAAGGAGGAGAAAACCTGAGCGCGAATAACTGCGAGGAGCAAAACTCGGGAGAGCCCAAGGAGGGGCCCGGCACATTCCTGAGGCGAAGGCGGGAGCGGGGGCAGGTCCGGATCCGCCGTTAGAGCCGGGATTGCCCAACCGAGCCGGGGCTGGGCTGGGCTGGGCTGGGCAGGGCGGGGGCCGCGCCCGGAGAGTCCCGAGAGCCCCGATCCCGCTCCGGATCCGTCACATCCCACCCGGCCGTGCCCAGAGAGGAGCCTCCTCCCAGCCCAGCCATGGTGAGCCAGCCGGGACCCCCGGGATGGGCACGGAGAGGGGGTTCCCCGGGGGGGGGGAACGGGGCAGCAGAGCAGCTTTTCTTGCCAGAGCCGGAGCGAGACGCGTTTGGCTCCGGAGAGAGCGGACGGTGCCAAGGCTGAGCTGGGCTCTGCTGGGAAGGGGTCTGGGTGTGGGAAGGGGGGCAGAGACGGAGGGCGGGGGGTCCCTGCGGGCGTGGGGACAGGGAGGGGGTTCCACAGGGGAGGGCAGAGGAGCTTTTCCTGCAAAAAGCCCCCGAGCTGAAGCCGGACGGGCTCGGCTCCGGAGAGGGCGGGCGGTGCCAAGGCTGAGCTGGGGCTCAAAGTTCCGCGGGGGAGGGAGCCTGGGCATGGGAAGAGTGGGCAGAGACAGAGGGCAGAGGGTCCCTGCGGGTCGGGGAGGGGTCTAAGGAGCGGCATTTGTGTTGTTCCCCTCCCTTTTCCCACTCTTTCCCTGCCCATAACCGGGCTCGGGGCTCTGCCCCCACCCCCAGCACTGGGAAGGGGGAAGAGGAAGCAAGAGCTGAGGGTGGGAGGAAGTTGCACCTCTCAAATTAACCAAAAAAAGGCTGAATTGAGCCTCATGAAGGGCAGGGTGTGGCAGGGAGGCCCCGGGAGCCGAGGTTGGGATGGGAAGGGCGGGATTCCCCCCCGGCTCTCCCCGCACTGCCCTTCCCTAGAAACTGGAGGCTCTGGAAGTGGGAAAAGCCCCACATTCCCTCCTCTCCTCTCCATCTCCTGTCCATCCCCGCGAGAGGAGCCCCCGGCCAGCCCTGTCCCTGCTCCATCCCTGCCCGGAGGGAGGAGATCGAGGAGGGAACTGGAATTTTTCTCTCCTGACTCAGTTCCTCCGGGGCCCAGGCGGGGCCGGGGAGGGGAGAGGGGGTGGGACGGGTTTATCTCTGCAGAAAAGCAGCCTCGGCCAAGCCTGGTTGCAGCACAAGCTCTTTCCCCGTCTAAGGCCACTCCTCCGATGGGAGCCGACACCCCCCCGGGGGATTTTCCACCCGCCCCTCCCCGGTTCTCCGGGTCCTTCCCGTGCCAGGGCGGCGGAGAAACGAATTCCAGGGAAAAATGCGGTGGAGGAGCCCCCCCAGCCCTGTCCTGGTTCCC